TAATGGCTTGTGCTCCCGAATGACTCAGCAAGCTACACAAGCCGAAGATCTGATCATTTCTGGGTAGTTGAAGGATGGAGGTCAAAGTCCAGTTTCCTGGTCCTCCAGGTTGGGGGTTCGACTAGAACTGGTGTTTCTCTTGATAACAATGACACAAGACCAGTCAATCCAAGTATTTGGGCCTTAACTTGGCTTCAGCCGCTGCCTTGGGGTTGGGTTCTTGTCAGAACTAAAGGCTTTGGTTGAAAACCCTGATCGTTCTGCTTAGTGGCCGGACGCGCTGTAAGTATCCGTCCATCAGACTAATGCATACACAAACTAATAAGAATTCATACCGCATCGGTCGTCGTGCAGGATAATCGAGACCGCGCTGCCCATTGCCTTTAATTCTGTCTTCCGTGGTCATCCCTCACTTTTTGCCCCTCCTTCCGACTTGCAACAGTCACTCAAGCAACCTGGATGTCGCTCGCCAAAGGTCGTTGACTAATACCACTAAGTAATTACTAGGAAATAGATTGCACATTCAGCAACCTCGTCAGTCACTGAATCTAGGGGCCTTCAACGTGAGGATCCTTCTGCAGGTAGGCCGACAAGCTTGTCTGGCTCGTACAATAGAGTCCTTACAGATCAATAATTGCTGCGTATCGGATCAGGATCCTACCTCTATAAGCCACCTGATTGCGCCGCATTTTTCCTCGACGTTCTTCGTGCATCATGCGACGATGAAGTCCGTTCAGCGCGGGGTAGGTATTGTACTCAGTAACAGGCTGACTCCCCTCTTATCAGTTCGATCCTTATCATCAGTCGCTTATGTGCGATGCAACTCCGATCAGTGTCCGGAGGGGAAGCAACACCAATAGGTGTCTGTCCGGCATATGCACCGACCGACTGCAGTTCTGATACACAAAAGGGTCATTCCTACGACAAACATCCCATCAGAGGCTTACCAAGGTGGTAGTTGTGTTCCAAGCCAGCGAACAAATAATGGTGATTGAATTCAGTAAGAGATAACCGAGAACTTTTGGTACTTCAGTTCAGCGCAGACCACCATCTGTACCTATCCAGTACCAACTTCCGACAGCTCTTGACAGACTGCAACGTTTTGCTCCAGTTCCACTAATACGTTAATCCGAGTCGATCACAGTAAAATCCCGTTGGCGCGGCTCAGTACTAAACTGAAGGTCGTATTGGACCACTTGTGTTGAGTCTGATCACGCATTAGTTTTAATGCAGCTCACTTTCCGATCCACTGATCCTAGAAAACCCACCAAACTCGGTTTTCAGATCAACGCTTATCTGACCCGGCCGTTGGTGCCTGCTTTGAATCAGGATAAGGGCAAGAACTAAAGGCGTTCTAGTCTGGTAGTGTGGATGAGCAGTGGAATCAGATTAGACAAGCAGTGCTCTCCTCAAGGTTACTAAGGCGTCCAAGTTTCCGCAGGTTGCGGGATTACTGACCTCGAATTCGTCGATGACGTTGCAGTGCTTGGAGAGGACCTGACCGTCTTGCAAACAGCTCTCAACCGTATCAAAAGATTAATCCTAACAAAACTAAGATGTTTTGCTACTCCTCCTGATCAAGCACGACATCCCCCGCAACTGGGTGGTCGGACAATAGAAATTGTATCGGACTTCAAGTATCTGGGGTCCACCATCCTGCCCAATGGACAAGCCAGCGGTGATGTGAAGCGGCACATTGACGGCTCGAACGGCGTTTCTGCAGCTCTGAACCACCCTATGGCTCCGGAATGAGATCAGTCTCAAAACTAAGCTCAAGGTGTTTGCCACAGCAGTTCGACCAGTCCTACTATAGGCTGCGAAGCCTGGCCGCTGAGGTCATCAGACGATTGGAGGTCTTCGATCACTGGTGTCTTAGATTCATTTCGAAAGTAAACTGGCGGGACAGAGTCTCAAACTGGGACCTCAGAAA